TTTTTTTTTTTTTTTTTGCAGCAGATACGACTTTAGGCTGTACAACAAAATTTATGCTCTTTTTGATATTTTAACTTAACTTCTTTCTGTGTTTCAAAAAAAAAATGATCAAACTTTTATAACTCAATTTCGTTGATTAAGTTTTCTAAACCACATCATATTTTCTTTTCAATCACTTTTATTTTTATATTAACAAAAGTTAAGTGTATTTACTCCTTTGCAACAAAATTTTGCATCAAGAAGGTTTACAAAACGCAGGAAGTCTCATTCTGCTTGGTTCAAATTATAATGCACTTGTTGATTAGCAGACGATTTTAAAATTTAAACAATAAGTGGTTGCTGCTAGACAAAAAAATGACGATTATAAAATATTTGACATTTTATTCTGCTAATGTTCGTCTGACAACTTTGATACGTAAAGCTTTGACCGAAGAATAAATTGCTTTATAAATAAAAAAAAGACCAGTTAGAATCACAATTCGTCGAGGAATCAGTAAGGTTTTTTATCGTCTTTTTTAGCAAAACCTTTAACATCTTTTAGAGGTTACCAGTTCCCTACAGTTGCCGTAATAATAGAATAAGCAAAAAAAACTCAAAACTTTTTATACATTTTTGATGCTCAACTTATAATTTTTTATAACCTTAAGCATTTTTTATCTATCTAAATTTTTTACCAAAAAAAATTTTTTACCGACAGCAAGGTAAACTTGTGGTTTTTTAATTTTTTAACCACTGCTATTATAAAACAGTCTTTTTAACATATTTGATATGCGTTATTCTGCAGCTTTTATTTTCTGACCTTTTGTAGCTTTCATCGAGTTTAAACTACGTGTTCTCAAAAATAACTTACAGACAGCAGTTCTTTGGCAAGCATTCAATGAGAAGTTATGAATAATTAAACAACATCTTGTCAAACTATTCAGGACAAGATATGCTTAATATATCTTCACAAGGATCACGTTTTTGATAAACACGCAAATTAAACAACAGGTTGGTAAAGTATTGAAAGAAACTTCAAGAATATTTGTTCCTGAATTAAACACGCAAAAAACTGATAAGTTTTAGGAACAATTGTAGGCAATAAAAAAACATAAAAAGAAATGTAAAATTAGCAACTTTATTACAGAAATAACGCCATAAAAATTTTACTATTCTTCGATGATAAACACTGCTTTTGTACATTCCTAGCTGATCAGTTTTTTACTTCAATTTTCAAAAACAGAAAAAAAGAAAAAAACAGGAATAAAATACAATATTCTTCATTACATCGAAGCGATTAATAATAATTTGTATAAGCAACATCAATAATAACATTTTTCTTCAAAGGAAAGTTGTTCATAAAACCTCTAAATTACTGACTAGTTAGTATTCAAACTGTATAAAGGGTACAAGTGAAAAATATAATATATCACATTCCACCAGTTAGAACTGTGAAAGAATAAAAAATAAATCCTCATATGTAGTAACTTGTGGTTAACAGACTGCTAACAAGGCAGTTCAAAAGTTCAGTCAAAATAAACAGATTCTTTTTGACGTAAAAAGACTAAGTAAGTAAATTAAGCTTAGTTTGTCAAAAAAGTGTTTTTTTTTTAGACAATTAGCTAAAAGTGTCACGCTGTTAAAAAAAGGCCAAAAAATTCCACGGCTTAACATTTTCAAAATTGATGACTACATAAATGTTCTGTTAAGTACAAAAAAAAAACAAGTTTACATTTACTGCTATCAAAATATCTAATTAAGTTAGTCTTTTTTTTTACGTAAGCTTAATTTTCGTCAAGTAAACTGACAAGAAATTACAACCAAAAAAAGATTAAAAACCCGGTTACTTAATCTGTTAAATTATATAATTCTACTGCTACATTATAATTGCACTTAATAAGCAAAATGAAAAAAAAATCATTAGAACAATTAGATTATTTTTTTATTGCAATCACAGGTGCTGAATGATTAAGCAACTCATTACAGCATATTCCTTGCACCACGCATTCCCTAACGTCTTTTTGTCTCGGAACGAAGATGACTACGAGTCCAAGCTGATTGAGATAGAGCAGTATAATAATATGCAATCTAAGTGTTTCTATCCAATTTAGCTCAAATATTTGGTTAATGAAATGACAGAAAAATAGCGCTATGTATAACACTAAAAAATGATCAAATTAAATATTATAACCACAGCAGAATAATACAATCAAAAACCAATTGTACTTGTTATAGAAAGCAAACGTCATTGTAAAGTTCTTGTTTTCTTAAGTTTTTAACGGAATTTTCAAAAAAAGCTGCAATTTCTTACTTAAGGTTATCAGATTACACATTAGTATAGTCACTGTATATTTTCGTTGCCTCCTCATATGCGTTCTATTCAGATCATTTTCATAACCTTTATCATTTAAAAATTTGTTCAGTTGATTTTCTTTTCTGAAAGCAGACTTCAGCAGTGATTACTGTAGTTTATTATCTGAATAAAATTTTGTACAGTAGTTTTGTTAACATTTGCCGTTATGTAATATTTCTTTTATAAATAATCAAAAATTTATAAATAATTCGTAGTTGAAGAAGGTAAAACAATGTTTACAAATATCGTTTCTGCTCTGTTGTAACAGTACACAGTAACTCAAATTGAAAATAACAAATTTACGCACCGTTTCATCATGATTATTATGGCTATCATAAATATACTGCTGAGAATCAAAAAAACTGTTTTTACAGAGTCGACATAATATTGAGAAGATTGTGTAATCAAAAATTGAGGTCTAAAAGAAGTTCATATTTGCACTATTTTATTTAACATGAAAAATTTATAAGCGTTTTGGTGAAATTACTAAACAGCAAATTAAGTTGTAAAAGTAATTACTTTTGTTCTGCATAAAATGCCAAAAATAAGCAGTAATAAGTACAACAATAATCAAAAAAGACTTACGGACAAAACCGGCTGATATAACGATCAGCCAAAATAAATTCCCTTATCACAGCAACGCTGTAGACTGCAGGCGATGCAATAATCACTGAGCAAACAAGGCTTTTGACGATAATTTTATGCTTTCTGAAGTAATAAGTTGGATTAATAACAACAACTAAACGGTCGATGTTATTCGCCAGCAAAACATTTGAAGTCGCATCATTAGCCAACAGTTCCAAAAACGCTGTAGACTGAAATTCAAAAAATTGTTTATTTACATCACAAAAGCGACTACCGATTAAATCTCTCTTTTACTTCTGCAGTTGGCTTACAGAACTACTTTTTTGTAAACAATAATCATAGACAAAAGAATAAAAACAGCCAATTTGTGTACTTTTTTTTTATGTAGAGCAATTCAAACTGACAAGGGTTCAAGAAAAACACTGATGCTTTTTAAAAAAATACTATTTTTTCTCGAACTAAACATCAGATTTATTTTTTTTTAGCTCGATACAAACCAAAGTAAGATAAAGGTTTAGTGAAAAAACAGGAAAGTAAATTATTTGATTTACTAAGTGACCTGATAAAAGCAGCTTTTACTAGTCATAGTTCCTGGTATCTCAATTTTAATTGCGAATCGATAAATTCCGGAACAGAAACAAGTGACTCCACTTAAACCATTAACAATATAAGCAAAAATTAGTAAAGAGTAGCTAGATCTGAAAGAGGTTTTTCAAAACTGATTTAACTAGAAAAAGATAAAATTGAAAAAATAATGAAAACAGTGTATATCAAGTCAATATTTTTTTTTTAGTATAGCTCATGCAAACTAGTTTTTTTCAACTGCTGACACTTTTTACCTTATCTTACGATCTCGAATCAGAATAACGAAGACTATTAGATTTGCCAATGCCACAATAAATCCTATAATTGTAAAACCATAGGTGCGAAGATAAGGATTAAACCGAGAAACGTGAGTGTAAAATGTTTCCAGTGTTTCCAGTGGCATCTGAATCAACCATTTATTAACTGATGAATAAGAGTTCTACTTCACGTTTTTGATTTCTAGAGTAACTTCTGATGTATTGGAATTAACTGATTACAATTATTTTATTTCGTACAAAAGTGCTTGTTTTGTCAAAAAGTAAGTGGAAGAAACAGAATTTCTAGCACAGTTTTATCACCAAATTACAGAAAACAAAAACAAAATTTAGTGATAGAATAATTACGAAATAAAAAAACATTTTCTTTAGAGAATGCTTAATAGGTATGAAAAGATAGAAGACGAGCGAAAACCTGAGTTCAGAAGTAGCTTCAAAGCATCCTTACATAAATTCCTTTGACACGTTACCACATCATTTCTGTACTTTTCACGCAGAGAAACTGTTAATGGTGGTACAGAAGAGGTAAAAACAAAATATTATAAAATGCATTTTACTTCTCAAAATTTTAGACTTTTTAAAGAAAGAAAGTTTTGGAATAGGATTTAGAGTTTTACCAGCTGAAACAAATGTAATTATAAAAAAGAGACAAGATAAAACAACATTTTAAGAATTGTCGTTGTTGAGATGACTTTTTAAACCAACTCATTTTTTGGAAAAAATAAAGTGTTTTAAACTGCAGATTTCGGATGAGTTGCTAATTCGATGTCAACTAATTTGTCTACGCTTAAACTGACTTGACCAAAAAGTGAGAATGTTGATTTCGTAAAAGTGTAACCGCAAATCACTATTTATTTGAAGCAAGCAATCGTAAATAAAATACTTTACAAAAGTTGAAAATATGTTCTCAAAGATTACTTCTAAGTTCACTGTTCTTTTAGTTTTGGTTGTTATAAAGGAAAAAAAAGTTGTACCTGAATTTCACAACCGATTGGTAGACGGCAGGTAAAGTTGTAAAAAATAACGAAAAACTGATACATTTCAACAGCTAATCAATTTTTTTTTCTGTTATAAGTCTAAAATTGAAATGCAATAAATGTGAAAGTTGATTAACTGTCTTGAAAAAAAAAAAAGTAAAACGCTATAATAATGCTCTATAATAATTTCCTTCATAAAAAAATTTAGTTCAACTTTTTTCTTTAAACGAGTCAATTCTTTTCAATAATAGGAAGCTACAGCTCACATATAGCGGAGGTCAATTTTCCTTCTGAATATCTCCTTAACTTTAATGTTTTTTGAAACAAGGCATCTGAAGTAGATATTAACATTGATTTCACCGAACATTTAATGCAATCTTTCTAAAAAAGAACTAGAAACTAATGAGTAACTTGTATTTTCTACAACAATTTTTTCGTTAAGAGTAACAGGTAATATGCAATAAAATTAAACGTTTTAAAGAAATATATAAACGTTAAATTTAGAAAAGTTTGCTAAACGATGTAAAATCTGGCAGAAAAGAAATTAAACGCTTGTTGAACGCGAATAATGAAGAAAGGTTCAATTGCGAGGAAGTTTAATGTCAACTTCCGGTGGAACAATGCTTAGGGTGATGCGGCTTTTAGCTAATTAGTCATTAATTTATGAATTAAAACTGGCTTCAAAATTACAAAGTGTCATAATTGTTCAGATGAGCTTTCAAGTTTTTTATCAGAAAATAAGATTTTCAAAAGGTTGTTGTTGAAAACTAGCTGCAATAAAAAAAAACTGATTTTTTGACTTGAAGTAGTATCAAAAAAATAAAACTATTTTCTTGAAAAAATCTAATTACGGTTGTTAAACAGTTTGTTGATTTAAACATCTGTTTTTACACTACATTGATAATCAATTTCTAAAATTCTAAAAACAATTTGTACAGTCACAAGTATTCATCAAATTAACTCTAAGACAGGTAGTTTTCTCGAGGTACTACTGAGGACATCTCTTGATAAATGTTACAATAATAATAGTACTATAAAACTGCTAACAATTCTTTGGAAAAAAAAGGCTAAAAACTCTGAAAGAAGTGAACTATTAATAAAATTAGTTTAATTATCTGTGAAGCAACAGTATATTAAAATTGTACATTTAACTTTATAAGCGGAGGGTAATTTATTCATTAGGTTCTGGTTTAGCCACCAAAATTACCGCATGCAAAATTAATTATTTCAAGCAAAACGCTGATAAATAGTGTGATGGAAAACAAAAATCAAACAAACTTTCTCGCAGTTATCTATCAAAACAAAAAAAAAAAATCATTTAAGTATATAGTTGAAGTTTGTAAGCAAATTATAA